CCAGCCATAGACATAAGTAAGCCCTATTGCCAGCCTGTAAGGCACCTTTGTGCAAACTAAAAAGGTGCCCCTTCCTGCAAACACTTTACTGCCATCTGCTGGAGATGTTCCGTAATGTGTTGCTGGCTCTCCCCACAGCTTTGCGTGATCCAAAATCAAACATGGTGGCCGTGGGGAAAGTCTATCACCCTCCATCCTTGTTTCCCACGTTAGGGAAACAAGGATCCCAGGACTCACACTAGCCCTGCGAGGGAATCCACCTGAATATGGCAATGTTATTTGCTATGATCTTCAAACAAATCTAGAATTCTGTCTCTGAGTGAATCTCACAGGAAGGCACCCACCTTTACCCGAGCCTTTCTGTTCCAGGTTCCTTAAAATCGGAGACAAAGAGTGTGAATACAATCCCAAGTTCCGGCTCATACTTCACACCAAGCTGGCCAATCCTCACTACCAGCCGGAGCTGCAGGCGCAGGCCACCCTCATCAACTTCACTGTGACCAGGGATGGCCTGGAGGACCAGCTGCTGGCTGCTGTGGTCAGCATGGAGAGGCCAGACCTGGAGCAGCTGAAGGTGCTTCCAGGATCCGCCGAGAAAGGGAGGCAGACAACACGCTGTCACTAGATCCCTCAGGGCGCCCCTCCCTGGGGGAAGTATGTGGGCTATTTTCTCTGGAGCTGAGCAACTGGGGCTCTGCTAGACTGAGGAGCGCCAACACCTCTAGCCACCTGGAACACCGGGGAGGGGAGACAGAGGCTAGAGTGAGCTGAAGAACCGAGGCAGACACAAACACTCATCGCAGGGCCTTGGAGGGGCTATGAACTTGCATGGCCAGCCATGAGGGCCTCCTGTCACACGTGTTCTCATGCCTATGTCACAACTAAGCAGGGTTCAATTTTGCAAGGGCATTAAAAACAGTCGGCTCATCCACCATAGGACAGTGTCTTAGCTCAAGCTTCTATAATAAAACACAGACACTTATTTTCTCACAATCCTGGAAGCTGTAAGTCCAAGATAGGGGACCGCATGTTTGGTGTCCGGAGAGACCTTCCTTCCTGGCTTGGAGATGGCCACCATGTCACCGTGCACTCCCAGGCCTCCTCCCTGTGTGCAGAGAGAGAACCTCGCTGCTGTCTCTGTTTATAAGGACACCACTCCCATCAGACCAGAGCCCCACCCGATCGACCTCATTGAACCTTATTCAACCCCTTAGAGGCCCATTTCCAATATGGGGGGAAGGGCTTCAACATGATTTATTGGGGACACAATTCAGTCCACGGCAAGTAACATCCCTGTTTTACGCTCTCTAGGCCAGATTAGATTATAAATGCATGTCCAAAATGACAGTGTATGTGAGATTGACGCCGAGGCGCCCGGCCTCCGCTTCCTGCGAGCATGCCTTTACTGAGCACACACCCACAGAGCCCAACTCCGAAGCCGGCAAGAGCACAGGCGCTCAGGCTCAGCAGGTCAAAAGCAACACCGTGTCCCTGCCCTCACAGGCTTACGGCCTAGTGGAGGGACACAGAAAATAAGAATGTAAACAAAAAGTATATGCCATGTCAGGTGGTGATGAGAATCTTAGAGAGCCCTAGACTAATTTAAACTGGGGAAGTCAGAAAAAGGTTCCATGAAGGGGTTGCATCTGAGCTAATTCCTAATTTTTTGAAATATAATTTTATTGATTTCAGAGAGGAAGGGAGAGGGAGAGAGACGGAAACATCAATGATGAGAGAGAATCATTGATCAGCTGCCTCCTGAGCACCCCACACTGGGGATCAAACCTGCAACCCAGGCATGTGCCCTGATGGGGAATCGAACCGTGACCACCTGGTCCAACCACTGAGCCACGCCGGCTGGGCCCTCACTAATTTTAAAGACCCTGGCATAGAGCATTCCCTGCAGAGAACAGCAAATCCTGGTTGTAAACTAGGATTGAGGAATGTTTTGTTTTGTAAGAAGCAGAAGGAGAGCAGGGTGGCCATGGCTCAAGCCTCCAACAGGAAGATTGTTCTTTTGTGGATCCAAAAGCAATTACCCCAGCTGTGCACGGCCAGAGAAGCCGCAGCTGCCTGAGGTTACGGCCCCAGCTGAGAGAGTGTCCAGAGCTGTAGAATAGGAACCTAACAATCTGAGAGGGAAGACGAGGTGAGATCTGCTTGGACACCAGCAACCCCCAGCAGCCTTGAGGCGAGCTCCTGCAATGATCCTGTATAAATTGTGTAAGACAGTTTCTGTTGACTTTTTTTCCAAAAAAAAAATAAGTATCCGCAGGAGACCTATTCTCTGGGAGCAGTAAAGTGGTGATAGAGAGGACCCTCTGGGGAACTAACGCTTGACCCTACCTTCTAACTATTCACAAAAATAGGTTCCGTTTCATGAACAGACTGTTGGCATTGTGCGCAGCGTTGCACAGCACTCCCAGGCGTAGGGACTGGGACTAACCCAGCGCGGGTTACTAAAGGTCTACAGGGGTCATTAGCCTAAGGTCACATGACTAGGCAATGGTGCTGTTGGGATTCAGCTCAGTTGCTCATCTCATCTGCTTATGGTCTCGATCATTCTGCTATTTTGCCTTCAGTTTGCATCTCTAAGAGAAGGGACCCCGGCCCCATAAACGTTTACTTTTACAGATCTACCCGAGAGTAGGATGCTCTGGGCTTCTATATGTGACTCCCCCTCACTTGATATTTGCAGTCGGATCTCACGAAACAGCAGAATGGCTTCAAAATCACCCTGAAAACACTGGAAGACAGCCTGCTGTCTCGCCTCTCCTCGGCCTCTGGGAACTTCCTGGGAGACACGGCCCTTGTGGAGAACCTGGAGGTCACCAAGCAGACCGCGGCGGAAGTCGAGGAAAAGGTGAAACTACCCTGGCAGCCTGAGCTGGGGAGCAAATGCCCCCCTCCCAGACCCTGCATTCAACTTTTAGGTAAAAGAAGCCAGACTAACAGATGGCTTTCCTGTCTTTCCAAGTTTCTCCTAGAAAATCAAATGACAGGATTCCTGAAATGACTGGCTCACGTTCTGTTTTGTGGAGTTCCCACCTTCTGGGAATTGCTTTTGACAAGTCACCTCCACAAATGTGTGATGAGCAGTTAAGCCTGTGCAGTGGTCTGTGCAGGGCCTGGGAGCTCAAACTTAACTCCTTGGTGAGCTTGTAGAATTGCCGGAAGGTAAGGGATCACACTGCTGTAAGAGTTGGCTGGTTCAGGCATGATTGCACCTGGAGGAAACCCCAGCTGCAAAAATCTCACATGTCTGACTTTAATGAGAGACCGTCACTGGCTTCCCAGGAAGCTCAGCTCTCCAAAGCTGTACCACCCTGCAAACAACTTGGGGTACAGCTTTCTCCCCTTCTTTCACAACATTTGGGAGGCTTTTATTTTCCCTTGTGGAGGACTAGCAGACATGACTTCCGAGGGCCAAACTCCCCCGTCCATTCCCAGCAGGCTGAGAACCTACACAGTTCTTCCCTCATTTTCAGCTCTGCTCTTGAATCAGAAGAGTATTTAAGATTCTGGTCTGAGCCCTAGCCAGTTTGGCTCAGTGGACCAAAGGGTCCTGGGTTCGATTCTGGTCAAGGGCATGTACCTCGGTGGCAGGTTCCTCTCCAGCCAGGGCCCTGGGCACATGCAGGAGGCAACTAATCGATGTGTTTCTCTCACATCGACATTTCTGTCTTTCCTTCTCTTGTCCACTCTCTTTAAAAATCAATGAAAAAATATCCTCAGGTGAGGATTAAAAAAAAAAAGATACTGGTCTGAGTAGGTTAAGTGTGTCTGTAACAGTGTCCAGGAACAATACACCTTTGAGGGTATACACTTACTGTCAGATTATTGGGATTTCTCCAAATATAAAGACTCTGTTCCAGGTAGAAACAAGGTAGGAAAAATGAAGAATGCCCTGGCCCATGTGGTTGGTTGGGTATAGTCCCATGCTCCAAAAGGTTGCTGGTTCAATTCCTGGTCAGGGTATGTGCCCGGGATGTGGGCTTGAGCCCTCATAGGAGCTGTGCAGAAGGCAGCTGACACGTGTTTCGCTCTCACATCAATCATTCTCTCTCTTCCTCTCCCTCTCTCTCTAAAAATCAATATTTTTAATCTAAAAAAAACCAAAAAGCAAAGAAGGAGAGCAACCATGGGCAGGGCAGACAAACCAGCTCAGGCCACCCTGGGATAACAGACAGCTGAGGTTTGAGTGAGAGACTGAAGGGAGGAAGGTCCAGCCTCACTAGTCTCTGGGACTCTGGTGTGACCACCAGGTTTTGCCCGTGGTTCACTGTGGCCTCCGTAAATGTAGAGAAGGGCATGCAAAGTGTACACACTGCTTACAGCAGAAGTTCCACTGCCTGGGGCAGAAGAGATGAGAGGACACTTTCCAACCCACTTCGAGGGAGTAGGTCAGAAGTGGAATTAACCATGTTGACATCTCTTCCTTCTGCCTCATTCCTTCTTTCTTTTCTTTTTCTTAATTTTCAGAAAGATGGAAGAATGACTCTTTTTTTAATATATTTTTATTGATTTCAGAGAAGAAGGGAGAAGGGAGAGAGAAATAGAAACATCAATGATAAGAGAGAATCATTGATTGGCTGCCTCCTGCATGCCCCCTACTGGGGATCGAGCCTGCATGCGCCCTTGACTGGAATTGAACCCGGGACCATTCAGTCCACAGGCCGACACTCTACCCACTGAGCAAAACTGGCTAGAGCTCATTCCTTCTTCATCCTCCTCTTTAAAATCAACAAACATTTATTGAGTGCCTGCTGTGCACCAAGCATTTATAGAATCTTTTTTTCTCTTGCTGTTTCATTTCTTGTTTGTCTTCTTTCTCTTCTCATCCATTCATCCAATAAATACTTACTTGGAGGCTGTTCTATTCCAAATTCCATGACAAAAGTTGGGGGTACAACAATGAACTTGCCGGAATCCCAGGCTTCCGGGACCTGGTCCTCTGAAGGAGAAAGACAAACAGGCAACTGCAAAGCGGTGATGAGGGCTGTGGGAGAGGAAGCACAGGAGGCCGTGAACACACAGGGAAAGCACTCAGCTCAACCAGAGGAGAGGGACACTTCTCTGTCGTGTAAAGGACTCGAGGGACAGTAGAGGAGATGGAAGTAGTCACTGGAGATGAGGCAGGAAATGTAGGCTGTTTCCATTGCAATAGACTTTGTAGACCATGCTAAGAAGTTTGGGCTTGAATGAGAGTTGGGGATCATAAAAGAGTTTTTTGTTTTCCTTTTTAGACAAGAGAGTAACATAGTCAGAGCTGTGTTTTAGAAAGATCACTCCAGATACAGTCTGGAGGAGAGCCTGGGAATGGGGAAGACAGAGAAAGTAGTGGAGGGCACAGTGATTCCGATTAGAGGTGATGGTATCCTGAGCTAAGGTTGGCAGTTGTGGTGCAAAGAAGTGGGCAAATTCAAGAGCTATGTGCAAATTCAGAGGTAGAATTGAAAAACTTGCCAATTCATTGGATATGATTACACACGGGTGGACATAAGTAGCTTTACAGTTGTTCATATGGGAAATAATACAATAAGTAATAAATAGTACAAGAATAAACTGTTTTGCATACTCTCAACTGTAAACCTACTTTTGCCCCTTTTTGTATATAGATAAAGGTGTAGTCAAGGAAATTACTCAGGTTCCAAGAATAAACATCTAGAAAAGTACTGATGCGTATAGCTGAAAAAAAAAAGAGAGATTAGAAGTGAATTTGGGAATGAGAAGAAATGATGGTTTTAGTTTGTGTTGTGTTGAGTTTGCAATGCCTTTGAGCCATTTACATGGGATTGTCACATAGGTTTGGGGGTATATGATCTTGGGCTGGTGATAGAGTGCTGAGAATCATCAGCAGGCAGTTGATCATTGAAATTTTAGAAGTGAATGAAGTCACCTAAGAGAGGTGTGTGCAATTGAGATAGGCTACTCCCGGAGCCCAGCAGGTACCAGTCAAAAACTCATTAATCTCCTCGTATAGCTTACCCTTTCCTTGCAGCCAATTAGCAGCTAAACTGAAGGACACTTCTGTCTGCAAGATTTACTCCCTTGAGCTTAAATTGTGTTCCCTTCACTCACACATGTGCATTAGCAAGAAAGACTGCCCTTTGGTGACCCTCCCTCATTTAAATGCTAAAAAAAACCCTGAGTGAAGAATTAACATGCTAATGAGACATGTGATGCATGAAGAAGCATGTAGTTCCACCACACAGGCACCAGGGCCCCGCCTCTCCATACTTAGACATCACGGTTAGACATCATCCTTCCAGCCCCAACTTCTTTAAAACTATTCCCTGGCTTTTGTTCAGGGAGCAGCGTTTCTCTTTTCCCTTTAAATGTTGTTTCCCTTAGTACACCGTTTTTCCCCTGAGTACTGTTCTTATGGTGAACTCTCTTGATTTCTATCTCGGGAGCTCCCAAGAACTCAGGATGGTTCCATGGTAAGATTTTTGCCTGACGTGTTGGAGACCTGAGTTTGGTTCCTGGCCAATGCACCAGGGTTGTATCGGTTTCTGGTGATCTCTTTTGACTTCTATCCTGGGAGATCACAAGAACCCAGGACACCAGTAATACAATAAGACTGGGAGTAGAGCATTGAGGAATACTGATACAGTTTAAGAAAAGTAAAGATGTGAAGGATAGAATGGAGCAGAGAGATGGAAGGAAAAGCAGGTAATAAGGTATCATGAAAAGAAGCATTTCAAGAGGAAGGGATGTCTAATGGTGTTGAATAATGGCGGAGAGGTGCTCACTGATTTTTGCAAAAAGGAGTTATCAATGAATTTGGGGAGAATGGTTTCAGTGAGGCAGTAGAAGCAGAAGCCTGCATTAGAATGAGAGTAAATGGGAGTTGAGAAAGGAGAAATGAACATAGACAACTTTTAAAGTAGCCAAACTATGAAATGGTAAAGAGAGAAAGGGTTATAACTTAAAGTGTAGATGGATCCTTCAAGGCATTCCCCCCTAACATGGGAGAGACTGAGCATGCTAAGATCTTAGCTGAGGGTGGGAGGATGCATGGATTTTAAGGAAAAGGAGCAGTCGCCAAGAAGAGTTGAATTAATGGGGATGGCAAGGAATAACTAATAGAATCGGGTACATAAGAAAGTCAGAGAAATATAATTTGGGTCACGATAAAAGCTTTACTTTTTATTTGAGTGTAATTGGTATATAATCTTACATTATTTACATTAGTTTCATGTATATAATATAGTGACTCAAAATGTGATGCCTTACAATATGATCACCCCACCAGTTCTAGTACTCATTTGTCACTGTGCAAGAGCTTATCTTTAGAACGATAGTTGGTTCCAATGTGATAGGGGATACAGGGCAAACGTGAATCTAGAAATGGTTCATGGGTCTCTATGGGCCGCTGGGGTAGAAGGACAGAACATTAATGGACTAGAAGGGAAAGTCTTGAAGGATCCATGTACTCTTTACATTACAATCCTTTCTCTCTTTACCATTTCTTAGTTTGGCTACTTTAAAGAGTTGTCTATACTCACTTCTCCTTTTGCAACTCCCATGTACTGTGCTGAGAGAGGGAACAGTGGTGAGGTAGAGGACTTGGGGAGAAGAGTGAAGGTTTAAAATAGTTGTTGCAAAAAAATGAAAGTTGACTAAAGACACACAGAATAATGGGCAGCATTAAGGACCCAGGTGAGCTTAAAAGTATGAATCTGTGATAACACCAAAATGATCAATTATGTGATTTCTGTTCACTTCCACACCCTTCTGAGAATTTTTTGTCTTTTTATTACTGAATGTAACCAATTTACATTTATTAACATTACAGATATAGTTAAATATTTCTACTATTTTAATCTGTGTTTTCTATTAACCAGGCTTTTTGTTTATTTTTTCTCCTTTCTTCCTTTTTCTTTATCCTCCTCTTTTATCCTTTGCTGATTTTAAAGTTACTCATTATTTCATTTATATATAAAAATATTTCATTATTTATGTGACTTGACAATAGACATATTAATTTAACAAAGCCTAAAATTGAGCAATATATCTAGCCTCTCCAAAAATAATGTAAAGGTTTTAGAACACTTTGATCATCCTCTCCCATCTTCTGTTGCTGTTTTTACATGTTAGTTCAACCAACGACTTCCACACTGGTTGTGACTTTTTTATAGAAGTTTTTTTTTATTTATATTGGACATATACTTAAGAAATGGTGCACGAGGCTTGCACGGCCCACATTGCCCAGACACAAGGGCTGACACTCACCCCCTGAAAGATGGTTACTCTGAGCTCCGTTAAGGAACGCCACGGCAGCTTTCCAACCCTCAGCCACTCTCCCGATCGCAGTCTGTCCCACCCCACACACAGACTCTGTGACTCACACAAGCTGATTCGCAGGAAGCCCTGGTTGGCTTGAACAATGGACACCATTTCTTTTTCTAACAGGTCCAGGAGGCCAAGGTGACCGAAGTGAAAATCAATGAGGCCCGCGAGCACTATCGACCGGTGGCCGCCCGCGCCTCTCTGCTCTACTTCATCATGAACGACCTCAGCAGGATCCACCCCATGTACCAGTTTTCCCTCAAGGTGACTCGCACCTGGAGCTTTTCACATAATCGTACCAAAGCAGCACAATATGGCCGGCGCCGTTCCCCATGACAGCTTACCATGAGCTTTCATTAGCTGTGGCAGGTCTCTAAGATCAAATCCAGGAGAGCAGCTACAGTGCCTGCACACCTGTATTACATCCTCATCTCTTTAGCTGGGGCTTTCACAGCTCATTGGTGATTCGGCTGGAACCGAGGCAGAACCACACCAAGTCCCGGCCTCGCTCACTCAGTAAGCGCACATGACATGGCAGCCACTCGCTCGCAGAACGTGTGGGAGAGGCTACCGAGGCATGTTAGAAGTAATCTCCGCCCCCAAAGAGCTTAAACTAGAATGTGTGTCATGCACATCCATTAACACCAAAGCAGGCAATGATAATAGACCAACTTCAAATTACTTTTCTTATTACCTTCATATCCCAAAGCTACCATTTTATGGCTTTTGAATTATTTCTAAAACCAAAGGTGTTATCAAATTATAAGCGGTGACTAAATTTATCTTACTCATGAAAAATAAAGACACATAAATTTTCAATGCATCCCTGAAATTGTAGATTTCTCCCCTAGGACATTCACCAGAATTCAACAATTGAAGAGGCATTAGCCAGTGGTAGAGCATTTCTGAACAACTTTATTTGATTTGACCCAACAGAGGACATGCACACGCACACATATGCCCCCCGCCTACTCACTCACAGGGGGAAGGGTTTATACCAGCGGTCCTCAAATTACAGCCCGCGGGCCACATGCAAATACAAATATTGTATTTGTTCCCTTTTATTTTTTTTTACTTCAAAATAAGATATGTGCAGTGTGCACAGGAATTTGTTCATAGTTTTTTTAAAACTATAGTCCAGCCCTCCAATGGTCTGAGGGACAGTGAACTGGCCCCCTGTTTAAAAAGTTTGAGGACCCCTGGTTTATACACACAGACACACACTCAGAGCGCACAGGTCATTCTGTGAAGCCCAGTTGTACTATGGAGACCACGGTGTGGGGATGAGTGTGCAGCTGAGAAATCAACGGGCCGCTAGCACCTGGGCCCATTTAATGGGAAATGGCATGTCACCATTTCCCACGCCTTTCCCTCACTCAGAGGCTGCAGATGAGCTGAACTGTGTTTGCAGTATGTTATGCCTTTAAAAAAAGTTCAATGCTTGGCCTTATATTCAGGTCAAAACATATGAAAGATTATAAAATACTTAAAGGCTGTCTCAAGCTAAGCCGCGTAACCACGGGATCACCTCCCAGTTCCAGGCGCACTTGCCGTTGAGCTCAGTGACTGCCTGGAAGGAAGAAATCACTGGAGCCCATGAAAACGTGTGTGCAGAATCCACTGCAAATTGTTGTCAGCACCCGCACCCCGGTGTGGGCTCGTCATTGGAAGCTCTATTTATAAGAGGGTGGGATTTGGGGTCCCATATTGTGCTGCAGAATCGTCAAAAACAGTTCATAAACCAGCTCGATCACTGTAAGCAGGTTTAACACTTTCTAATAAGGAGCAGAAATAAGTGTCTTCAAAAATAGTGGAACAACAATAACTTAGAAGCCTTGCGTGATTTGAAGGAAAGTAGCTACCGGCATTTCCATGCTCGGCATCTGCCTGCGGCTGGATCTCACAGTTCCTGTCCCGGCAGAGAAAGGAGAGACCTTCTCACAGTCGGAAGACCACGGCGAGGCCAGTGTGCTCATAGACTTGCAAAAACTTCAAAAGCCAGGTTTAGTAGGAACTCGGAAGTTTATAACATGGGTGAGGTGGAACTTGATGTTAAAGTAACCTTTCTTTAAAACTCAGCCAAAGGCTAGGAGAGGGTTAATGGGACGCACTCGCAGAGGCCAGGGTGTCCCCCTTGGGAAGAGACCTCACTAAGGTTTCCTGCAGATGCAGACGCAGATGAGGGAAGGCCCGCTCCCTCTGTTGTGTGCACGAAGGGCGTGGGGTTGGGGGGGCGGGGACGGCGAGGCGCAGCTAGAGGAATAGCACTTCTCAGCGGATGGAAAGGTAAGAAACAGGCAGAAGCAGGTAGAACACACTGGAGACCCAAACTGTTGACCTGTTTTCCTTGGGCCTCTCAGAGAGCTTTTCAAATACTTTCATTGGTGACAAAGATTTTAAAAGAAGGGTATTTCATACAAGTCCTAACTCTGGCTTCTCCTGAAAGTCTGGAAGGTTTGGCAGTACTGAGCTCACGTTCCACGTAGCATGAATTCGCTGAAGCTGGGGGGGCTGCTCCCTAGACAGGCATGGTCCCCCCCACCCCCTGTTGCCACATCCCTACCCCCACCTGTTTGTCTTACACGCCTGCCCCTGAAGTCCGTGTTCACCCTGGGGCCAAGGCAGCCCCCCTGCTTTGCCTCAGCTCTTTAGGCCATTGGCAGGCCTCATTCCTTTAACAGATCTTTTCAGTGTCTGTTTGATGTGAAGAGCTGGGCTGGATTCTAGAAAGATAAGACAGTTGGTAAGGCCTGCCCCCACCTCAGCGTGCTCTCCATCTGGTATACAGGAAAAGGAAAAAGGTATCTAAGGGCCCTAACGGAGCAACAAGGGCATTAGAGCCGAAATAAGATCTGTGGGCAGGAGAGACGCCTGGAGGAAGCACAGTCAGGCCCGGCGCCAGAGCTGTCCAAGCGCCGGAGGTAAGAGGAAGAGGAGGGGGCTTGCCAGGACGGGAAGGACAAGGGCCGGAGTCAGTCCAGCGCGAAGAACATGCTCCATGTGCCCAGGTTTTCAAAATGTCTTTAGATCTTTTCCTGAATTGTGAATCACGTTGCGGAAACGTAGTAACTGGAGACTCTGACTGATCACTGTCAAGTGGAGTTTTAGGGGAAAGCCTAGTGACCGCTGGGGGGAAAGGATGCCCTTGGTCTCCATGAACTGAGAAGCCCCCCCCGCCATGCTGCTGGGGAGCATCTCCAGCTTCCAGCCAGCCCGCCCTGCAGCCTGGAGCCTGGAGCCTGCAACCTGCAGCCTGGAGCCTGCAGCCTGGAGCCTGGAGCCTACAGCCTGGAGACTGCAACCTGCAGCCTGGAGCCTGGAGCCTGCAGCCTGGAGCCTGCCACGTGAGGGCGGGCATCACAGTGAGCTCAGAGGCCCTCGCCAGGATCATCAAAGCCCAGTGGAGCAAAGCTGCAAGGACGTCTCGAATAAGAGACACATGGAACTATGGACGAGGGAGAGGCATGCGTACACCCCCGCCCCCATTTGGCGGATGAGGAAATACTGAGGCGCAAATCTTACATGTTCTCCACTGGGTTTCAGACGCCTGGTGTTAAAAGCCCGAAGAGTTTTTTCTTCTTAAAGCAACAAAACAAGAATAGAG